ACTCACCGTGAATCTATCGGCGTCCACTCAACGGGGCGCACTTGTATCGATTGTTTCCACGCATTGAGACCCCGCAAATTCCGGGGAAAAAAAATCTCCGGAGAAAAGTGGGCGGAGCCTAAATTGCAACCCTGGCACGGTTTTTCTGCACATTTGGACACGGTCATGAGGGGGCGGAGCCTAAATTGTAACCCTGGCACGGTTTTGCCGCACGGTTTTTCTCGACTCCGCCCACTTTCTCCGGTTTTTTTCCCCGATTTTTTCTTTCCCCGGAATTTGCGGGGTCTCCACGCATTCAACCAATCGATACAAGTGCGCCCCGTTGAGTGGACGCCGCTAGATTCACGGTGAGTTTTTCACTACCGCTGCTTCAACTTTGGAATTTTTTTTCTCGAATTCTAGTCCATAAATTTTTTTCTGTTCCATAAATTTTTAGTAAATTGTATGAAGAATATATAGTAAAAAAATGAATCAGATTTTTTTGTCCGTTGTACTTTAAAACGTCGCAGACTGTTTCGCATTCGGTAGTGAAAAACTCACCGTGTATATTCGAAAAAAAAAACACCAATTGACACGATTTCCTGATTTTTCCTTCCTCTCTCGCTATTTATTCGCTGATTTAAATTATTCACTGACTGACCAACTCTTGTAGCATTCAACTACTAGCATAAACCAAAATGGAAGACCTTCACTTTGAAGAAACCGGAAACTTACCAATGCCCACCTCAATGCAACAGCATATGCGTAAGTTCCCTTTTTTCTATGTCAATGTATCTTTTTTCCCTTCAGAAATGAAGAAGCTCGGCAAGCCAATGGATGTTCAGAAAACGCCACTGCGAAGTGGTCTTGGCATGATTGTCAACGAATCGAAGACGCCGGGCGCCAGATCACTTCAGAATTTGGCTTCTGCTCGTAAAATAACCTCGTCCGCGGTGAAGCAGACAATTCCAGCTATCGGCTTTGAAATTTTTGAAGATGGAGTTGACGATGAAGTGGTGGAGAAGAAGATGGAGCCGGAACAGGAGGAGGTGAGGGAAACGCTTTTCCAGTTTTTTAAGTAGATTTAGACGCTTCTGAGTTGTCAGGGGCAATACAAAACGTCAATTTCACAAAATTTTTAGCTTCAATATCTGTTTTCAGACAAAAAATAGTCCATGCTCCCCAATCGACACGGCGAACCGATGCCATTCATTTGATTCACTCGCAGCTGATATTGCCGATGACATGCTTAACATGACAGATCAGGATGTTGTTCTTTTCGACGAACAACCCCTCGGCGACTACATCGATCCACAGCAAATTGAAGCGAACGAACTTGCTTCACTCGGAATTGAGGAATGGAATGAGTATCCACCGATTGATCCGGCTTCCCGAATCGCCGACGATTTCAATTATCCATTGAGTCTGGACGAATTCCATCAAGAGGGTGATGTGAAATTGGAAGAGGCGACAGATTATCCTGAGTTGTATAACGATGTCGAAACGGACACTATGAGTCGTGAGGAATTTCAGAAGATGGTAGAAAGTTTATTGAACAAGTATGAGGACTATAACATCGACGATTTGCTGGCTGAAGAAGCATCTATTCAGATCTAACTTCTCATTTCGATATATTTCTCTCCTTCTCCTACTCTCTCTATCCTGCTCTCTCTCACTCCCTCTACTGGTATTCTTTTCCATGATCTGATAAATGGATTCTGTACAATGAACTTGTAAATATATTTTATACTTTATTTCATAATATTTCCTTAACAAGGCATTATGCTGACTAGAAGGAACCCGAATGAAGAATAGGCAAATTAAAAGTGAGATCAGTGCAATAATAAATAACCGTATGGACATTATTCGGTGGCGATTTGGACTCCAAATGTTGGAGTTATCCACTTAGCCAACCTCGCACGAATTCGTCTTTTTCGCACTGCGACTCATCGTCGAACCACTTCCAAATGTTCTCATACTGGAAAAATGGAATAAAAGTTAACCGCAATTAGTTCTTCAAACTCACAGATTTCGTTGATTCTGTTCCATTGTCTTTAGTTTTCCAAAGAAGTTCGCAAACCCGACAGACACCATTTCTGTAGCCTGGAGAATTCCATGGGGCGGATGTCCAAGTTCCCTTTTGTCTCCAATTGAAATATTCGGAATAGGCGGTTCTGGAATAGGGTTTGAGTAATACTGAAATAAATCTTAGAAAACTAACAAATTCGATTCAAGAGCTCTAAGATGATTCGCCATCTCAGTTGGATTTTTGTAATCGTCCATTGCGATGAAAGAGTTTGGAGGAAGTATACTGAAGAAAGTAGCAAATTTGCAAAGATTAATTTCTTTTTGAATTCTTACTTCTTGTAAATTCGACGTTTCATTACAATTGGAATGCTGGGCACCGAGATTCGATTCCAAATCTTTTCGGTGACATAATCATTACAGATCTGAATAACAACTATTAAAAATAATTGTTCGAAAGTTTGGCCTACCGTATTCTCAATAGCAATATAGAAGGGATACTGTTCAAAGATGTCAAGACATTCCACTCCTGGTGGGCAGATCGTTTTGAGACGTTCGTCGGATGTACACTTCCCAGCAATCGTCACATTGATATGTCTGAAATTTGATAAAGTTCTTGTGAAGAAAAACGTGTTTTCATTATTTCCATTTTATGAGATACCAACAACAACTTACTTTCCGAGCTCCTGCAGAGCCAATTCTCGTTTTGATGTGGTATGACAGTTGGAAATAAGCCCAAAAACTCCACTTTTCGTTTTGACAAATCTCTTCGGCTGAACATAATAACTCTGAACTTTAAAACCTCGACTCTCTGCGACTTGAGTAGAAATCAGGAATGATCCGTACTTGTGAATGGCATCGGAGGAATGAAGATGAGTGGATGTCCAGTTAAAGAACGATTCTGTGAAACAAAGATTATTGTACTATGTTTATAAAGGATTTTTTAAACCTGGCACAGCAAATCGTCCGCTATTATCAGGTGTCTCCATTGAATTGAAAACAAAGACTTGGTTTTCTTTTCTGGTGTTTGGAAGAGGGAATTTCGAAATGTCGGCAGCATGGAATACGACGGCGTCTGCCGAGCTTAGCTGATGTCGATTAGTGTCAATCACACAACGATCCTGATTTTTTTGCTCGTTTAGAAAATGTTCCAATTCATAACTTTACCGTCAGTCCAGGGCAGTCGGAGAGCATCGTATGAGGCACAGTTGAACCGAATACAGTGGTCCAGTAAAGTATCCTTTTTGGGGCCAAGTTTCCGAATCGACTACCGATTCTGTCCTGCGAAACTGTCAAATACAAATGTCGCTGTGGACGAATGGGAACATGAGATCCATCATCATATCCGATGATAGAATATATCATATATACGCCGAGAAATACTCCGATACCCAGTAGCAAATATCTGTAGACACTGGCGGGTCGCAACCTCATCTAAAAAGGAGGAATGGGAAGAGAATATTTATAAACATATTTTCTGTAAGAGGCATGGATGGAAGGATATATTCACTTTCCGGAAAATAAATAAAATGGCTCGTATGAAAATTATCACATTTTTATTGGATTGATATAATTTATAAGATAATTTTCAGATATTTGTATTTAATGAGCTGGTTCGCGATTGACACGCATCCGAGACTCTGGTACATTATCTTTCGCTTCCATCCTTTCTTTTTTGATACGGGTTTCCAGGTTGCTGAGTAGACTTTGAGCTGTCCAAGATACTTCTTCATCTTTTGATCTTTCAGTGGGGAAAGTACGCCCGAGGAGTGATACATCTGAAAATATTTCAAATTCCCTTGCTTATCAATCAGTTAGCACTACCTATGTCCCCTACTTTCAAGTAGCGAGCTAATGGTTGGACTTGATTCCCAAATCCGATACCGTCGCTTAATGTTGTCTTGCTTCCTGTTTCCGCGTTGTATTCTCGATGACTGTTGTATTCTTCACTCATCTGAACGCTCTCGATGGTTGCAGCTGAAAATCGGTAAATGCCTCATAAGCAATAAATTAAATGTGGTTTCTTACAGATTCTAGCCATGTTTGGGAAATTGGTTGGAGGAGCTGCCACTGTTGGCTCTTGTATGTCATCGTTCTCAGTTTTTTTAGTAGACTTTCCAGATTTACGGAATAGACCAGTCAACGGTCGGGTGATATTTTCACTTTTGAATCCTTTAATTGGATCCGTTAGCAAGCCAAATCTGCCTTTTCGACCAGCATCTGGTTCTGATGGACCTTTTGGTTGGCTGCGCGAATTCTGTTCGCTAGCTTCATCTAAAGAGACAAAAGATATTTCGAGAATCGAATATCAACTAAACAGCTTTCACAAACATAAACGTGCTACTGTGCAGAAGTGTATCACTAGACAACAGTTAAAACTTGCAATTGTTATCGTCTTGACGATTCATTTTCCGATTGGAAAAATTATAAATCTTATTTCGAGTTTGTCTGAAATCATTCATTTGGTGTATTACACACTTAAGTTAATTGTATGATTATTAAAATATGGGTTTCATTTTTCAACAATAATTATCTTTTAAATTTCAATAATTTTTCACTGATTCAATTGATCAACGCTGAAATTTCAGTCAAAAAGTGTGTAAACACACACAAAATTATGAGAAACCGCGACGCGTCGACGTGCGTCGCGTATAAGTGGGCGGAGTTTTGATTTCTGCGTCCAATGAGGGCGCACTTTCACCCTTCCTACTGTCTGCGTCTCGTTCTCTCTCCGCCGATGGGTATAAAAGGGGGAGCGTCGCGCGCGCGCGTTCAGTCGCCCAGCTCGGGCTGTGAATGGATGGTCGCTTGCGCTGCGCTCTCATCCTTGCAGCCACCAAATCATTTGGCGGTTTCGATGGTCGCGTGTGCTCAGACTGTTGATGAAATCAAGAAACAGCTTCAAACAGCTGCAGAAAATGTAAGACCTGTCCCTCACACTGAAATAGTTGACAAAAATCGATAATTTCACAATCACAAAATTTGATAAAACTGGGTCAGGTTTTCAAGCAAAGCTTTTCAGGTCGCAAGTAGAATTTACCGTTTATCCTCTCGTTTTCTTCAGTCCCCTTTCTCCTTCTTTTGTGGTTGCCTTTTGAAAATAAAATTTATGAATTCATATTTTTTGTTTGTTGTTTTTAACTGTTAAAAATCCAAAGGATTGAGTGATGAGTTTAAACCATCAGTTTTTCAGAAGCCATTCTGAAAATCTGATTCACAAATTCCATTAATTCAGCATATTTTTTGTGTTTCATTCAATTTATCTCGCTTCAGGATGATCAGACGTTGTGCGAATCACTGCTCAACGAAGTGCGACCGTTGGTGACAACCCGAGAAATTCTAGAGGTGAGATTCGGCTTTTCAAAGCACGCGTTTACACCCCGTCGTCGGACGTGAAGCCGCCCGCTAGAGCCAAGCAAGCAGCCGTCCTTCTTTCTCGGGCGGCCTTGCCCCGACTGACTAGTCGCGCCGATGGAAGTGTTCCTCTCCGTCTCTAACCTCTCTAGCTTCTCTGCAGCATTATGTTTCGTCGCGTGCCTAGCCACTCTCGCCTTGTGTATACACCACGAACTGCGGCAAGGCACGTCAATCGATGAGATTTAACAAACAACCCGCCGGCGTTAGTCATGTAGAAGTAGTATGAGCAGAACGAAGAACGGAAGCGCATTTTTGAGGGAAAACTAATGAAAAAGGATAATTTTTATTTCAGGAAACAAGAATCGGATTCGTTGTAAACCAGCTTCGTAGGCAGTACTTCAAAAAATGGCCAGCTTTGTTGAGGATAAGTCGAGAAGTGATCAAGTCTTGGTCCGAAATTGTATGCGACGAAACCTCAAAGAGACCTCAAAGTGGAGCTTCTTCTCGGAATACAACTCCGAATGTTCTCTCGCCCAGCATGGCAAAGCTCATGCAGCGAGGGATAACTCCCAACACACCGGCAGGAAGACGTGTCACATCTACCGGACTCCAGGGTATTTAATAGCCTCACCACAAGCACATCACCAAAATATATTTCTACAGGTTCACAACAGAGACTCGTGTCGCCATCCAATGGATCCTATGCTCCTCGAAATCAAGTTTCACCTGGCGAAGCTACTCCCGCTACAAATGGTATTCATAAATCGGCATCGGTTGGTGGTGAGCTGCTGAAGCACGCAACAGCATCGCTTTCAACGAAACCAATCACTCCTAAAGAGAACGGAAAACGGAAAGCAACAGATGAAGTTGTGGCACCATCGATTAAGAGGACTAAAACAGCAGCCGGAGCTTTATCGATTTCAGTTTCTCCAGGAATTTCTTCAGCAATGGCTCCTCAAACACCAACGATGTCTGTTTCTGCAGCAAGAAAAGCTGTTCAGAGTACTAGCGAATTGTTCGCTCAGATGAGTGAGACTCTACCTGGTCATATCGACATTGGTTCTGATATCAGAGAACACGAAGAACGGTTAAAGCGAGAACATAAAGACGAAGAGGTATGTTGCAAATTATCAGCTGTGTTTCTAGGGATCAAAATTTTGCTCGTAACGCACCTTCAAATTAAATAATAGAGAGATTTTCAGCTAGCATACAGCCTTCAAGCTTCTGCCAGCTACGGTAGCTTCGGAACAGTTGAGCGAAAAAAGAGAAAGTACGAGCGGAAAAACCAGAAGGTCACTACACCGACCACTCCGGCAGCAGTTGCTTCTCCTGCTTTGCAGACGACTACCACGGTCACGCCTTCCGCCCCAAGTGAGTTGTGCTTCTTTTCTCACTCTTACACACTCCTCACTGCATAGCACGAATTGCACACTACTGCACAGAACGTCATCATTTTGACTCTGTCAGACACACACAATCGTTCTCTCAACAAAATGAAACTTCACGAAAGGTTTCAAAAGTGGTGAACAAATGGGAAAATGGGTATTGAAAATAATGCAGGGATGGGAGTGGGAATGATATTTTGAAAGGAAAGGGACAGAAGGAGGGACAGAGCAGGGAAGTGGATAAGGAACATGAGAAGCGCAGGGGAATGAGAAGAGACACAGATACAGGGAGAGTCCACTGGACCATAGTTACGTGATTGTGAAACGACGAAGACGAAGTAATGCCCATCCAAAGCTTCCAAATCTGGGATTTATGAGCACCGGTCGCCCTGTATAGATATAAAAAATTTAGACTGCGTTCTGAGCTCAAATCTCATAAATTTGGGAACTTTAGACACGTCATAAAAAATAATGGGTTGAAACACATTCATTTGCTGGGCAATATTAAAGATCTGGAAAATAACAAGGCAAAGAGAACAGAGCATTTTTGTAAAAGTACAATACAAAGTTACCATGAAACTCGAAACTTTAAAGCCTTCAAATGTTACATGAAAAAATCAAGAGAGGACTTTTATCACTAAACACAATATGTGTTCGAGAAAATTCTGTATTCTTTCAGCTCCTCCAGAAGGCCATATACCACCGCTGGTCTTACGTTTCAACAAGAATGGGCTCACTTCCACGTCGTCTACTCCAGTTCTCAACTCCTCTGAAAGCTGTTCATCGAAGAAAAAGTACGAGAAGAGCATCCGTTCGATTCCTCGTTCTACAACACCCCCACCAGTGGTCAGGAACCAGGAAAAGGAACGTGAAAAAGAAGAGACGAAACGGGAAAAAGAGCGCCAAGAAGCTTTAAAGCGAAAGATGGAAGAAGAAGAGGAGGACGATGAAGAAGTCGAAGAAAAGCCAAAGCAAGTACTTAGCAAGTTGACCAGCTGGGATTCCTTGATTCCAACCATGGAAGAGTTGCAACTTCGTGTGAAACGTGCCGAAAAGGAAACGAAGAAGGTGGTTGAAAAGACTGCTGGAAAGACTAGAAAGGATCCTACCAAAGTCCAACTTGTCAAAAATTTCCGCCGGCCTATCCTGATTCTGCCGTATCTCGAAAACCCAACTGGGCCGGATTTCTTGTTACACAAGTAAGTCGATTCAAAACTCGTATTATTTGTTCATTATCAAAATTTCAGATATCCCAACAGCCTACAGTACTACTCCGAGGACAATTTCAGATTCGGAGAGAAGCGTCCATCGGCGTAACTTGTGCCTTTTTTCATGATTCCTACCTCATCCCTTATCATCTTTGCAGTTGTTATATCCTTTTTTCTTCATATTGTTATCCATAATTTGCTTCAAAACTCAAAAAAAATCCCCCTTAAAACTTTTCTGAGCAGTGAAAACTGAAAAAGTTTAAAAAATTCAAATGAAACGGGTCACTCTTCTACCACACTTTCCCTTCCCTTTGTTGGGTACCGAGCTCGAATTCG